TGTGGCATCCTTGTATGGTTTCAGTGTCAGGGTAATACTGGTATTTTAAAATGAGTTTGGAAGTGCTCCCTCCTCTTCTATTTTTTAGAAAAGTTTGAGAAGGACTGGCAGTAATTATTAAATGTTTAGTAGAATTCACTAGTGAAGGTTTCTGGTCCTGGACTTTTATTTGTTGAGAATTTTTGATTATTGATTCCATCTCCTTGCTAGTAATTGATGTGTTTAGATTTTCTATTCATAATTCAGTCTTGGTAGGCTGTATGTTGTTAGGAATTTATCAGTTTCTTTTAGGTTGTCCAATTATTGGCATATAATTGTTCCTAATAGTCTACTATGAGTAGGTCTTTTTCATTTCTGATTTATTTTATTATGCAATGCCCTTCTTTGCCTCTTATTAAGTATGTGTGTGTGTGTGTGTGTGTGTGTGTGTGTGTGTGTGTGTATGTATAAAGTATGTATAGGAACCCTGGCTTTCTCTTGATTTCCATATGCATGAAATACATTTTTCCATCCCTTGACTTTGTGTGGGTGTGTGTCCTTAAATCTGAAGTGAGGGGCGCCTGGGTGGCTCAATCATTGGGTGTCTGCCTTCAGCTCAGGTCATGATCCCAGGGTCCTGGGATCGAGCCCCGCATTGGGCTCCCTGCTCGTCGGGAGGTGTGCTTCACCCTCTCCCTCTCCCTCTCCCCTTGCTTGTGTTCGCTCTCTCACTGTCTCTCTCTGTGTCAAATAAATAAAATCTTAAAAAAAAAAATCTGAAGTGAGTCTCTTCTAAGCAGCCTATAAATGGGTCTTTAAAAAAAAAAAATCCAAGGGTGCCTGGGTGGCACAGTTGGTTGAACATTGGACTCTTGGTTTTGGCTCAGGTCATGATCTTGGCGTCATGAGATCAAGCCCCACATTGGCTCCATGCTCATTGCAGACTCTGCTTGGACTCTCTCTCCCCTTTTTGCCCCGCCCCCGACTCTTGCTCGCTCTTCTCTTTCTCTAAAATATTTTTAAAAATCCATTAAGCTACTCTGTCTTTTGATGGAGAATTTAATCCATTTACATTTAAAGTAATTACTTTAAGGCAATGTCCTTACTGACATTTTATTTTCTGTATGTTTTGTAATTCCTTTGTTCCTTTCTTCTCTTGTTCCCTTCCTTTGTGATTTTATGATTTTCTTTAGTGGTACACTTTCTTTTTATCTTTGGTGTATCTACTATAGGTTTTTGCTTTGTGGTTACCATGAGGCTTATATATAACAACTTATATTTAAACACATTCTAATGCCCTACATTTTTACTTTTCTCTCCCCAGGTTTTACGGTTTTAATGTCATATTTTACATCATTTTACATTTTTATCTTTTGTATTCCTTAACTGGTTAATAATTAACTATAGCTAACATATTGTCTTTTAACCCTCATACTAGCCTTAGAAGTGATTAATCTACCACCTTTTCTAATATTATTCTGGATTTTATCTTTTTTTTTATTTAAGTAATCTCTACACTGAACATGGGGCTCAAATTCATGACTCCAAGATTGAGTTGCATATTCTTCCTACTGAGCCAGTCAGGCACTCCTGGATTTTACTGTATATTTACCTTTACCCATGGGATTTGTACTTTCACATTTTCCCATTACTAATGGGTGCCCTTTTATTTCAGCTTGAATAAGTCCCTTTAACATTTTTTGTAAGTCTGGTTTAGTCTTGATGAACTCCTTTAGCTGCTGCTTGACTGGAAAACTCTCTCCCCTTCAATTCTGTATGACAACTTTGCCAAGTAGAGGATTCTTGATTGAAGGATTTTTCTTTCAACACTTTGCAGGCCAGAGGGAATGAGATGATATATTCAAAGTTTCTGCTGAAAAATCTGATGATCTTATGGATTTCCTTGTTTGCAATAAGTTGCTTTTTCTTGCTTCCTGTAAGATTTTCATCTTTAACTTTGACATTTTAATTATATGTGTCTTGGTGAGGGTCTTTTTGGATTCATCTTCTTTGGAACTCTGAGATTCCTGGATCTGGAATTCTGTTTTGTTCCATGGGTTAGGAAATTTTCAGGCACTGATTCTTCAAATAAGTTTTCTGCCCATCTCTCTCTTCTCCTTCTGGGAGCCCTATAACATGAATATCAGGCCATCGGATGTTGTCCCATAAGTCCCTTAAACAAGCTTTTTTTTTAATTCTTTGTTCTTTTTCCTGTTCTGATTGGATGAGTTCCATGACCTTGGCTTTGATTTCATTATTTCTTCTGCTTTACCTAGTCAGCTGTTGAAACCCTCTAGTTTATTTTTCAGTTCACTTATTGGATTCTTAAGCTCTGTGACTTCTGTCATTATATTTTATTTTCTCTTTGTTGAATCCTCAGTTGTTCATGCCTTCTCCTGAGTTCAGTGAGCATCTTTATGACTGTTATTTTGAACTTTTAACAAATCAATCTCTTTCATCCAGGACTTTTTATGAGGTTTTTATCTTGTTTTTTCATGTGGAACATATTCCTGTTTCTTCATATTCATGACTCTGTTGGTTTCTATGCATTAGCTGCCATCCCTCCCAGTCTTGGAGAGGCCTGTTTCGGAGATGAACCTTACCATCCTACCCTTCTCTAGCTCTTGGTTGTCTCTCAAACCTTTGTGATTGTCCAAGCAACCTATTTTATTTCTGGTGGTTCCCCGTATTTGAAGGTCTGCCAAGACCTGTCATGGCTCCTGGGGTGGGGAAATCTTAGCACCTAGATTGAGGCTCTTTGGAAGCCAAACCCTTAGGGAGCAGCTTTTGAAGTATGCAAATGTGTACAGTTCTATGGGACCACAAGTATAATCTTGCTGGCCACAACAGCCAAACAATGTAGAAGTGTCCCCTGGGTGTCAGTCATAAAAAAATGGAGCAGCAGCCAAGCATATAATTTCCTTTCTGGGAGCTGCTGGAACCCTGGAGTGAGGCAGAGGGAGAGTGCAAAGATGGTGTGCACTGACCTCTATCCCTGGCATTCCTACCTCTTTAGGACCCTAGCTCTGTACCAGACCATCTGTGTGCCCCTCTGGCCAAAGCTCCAGGACAAGCAAATAGGCCTCTTTTACAAAAGAATGTGGTGTGTTTCAGTCTGCTACCTGTGTTGTGTCCTAGGGGTGTAGCCAGACAAGAACTCTTTCAGATTGTTACCACAGCTAGGTGATCAAGAAGTGTCTCCTGGGCAGCAGCTACAAAAAAAAAAAAAAAAAAAAAAGGCACCAGACATGTATATAGGCTTCTGTCTGGGAGGTACTGGCACTTTGGAACACGGCCAAAGGTACAAAGATAATGCCTGCCCTCTGAAGTCTCTGAAAAGGATCAGTCAGCCCTGAGATGTGTGTTTAATTTGAAGATAAGCTAAGAGGCCTTTTTCATAGGAAGATTGGGCTCTCGGGTCTGTTGCCTCTTGCTGTGTCCTGGGGGTGGTAGCTGGGGAAGAACTCTTTCTCCATTGGTTAATAATAGGTGATTGATACACTTAGGAAAGTATATACTGGACAACACAGTGATTAAGTTCGCCTAGAGTTGCATTTTTGAGGAGGTAACTTATAAGCTGAGTTATTCGACAATATTAACTCTGCTGGTGATGTGTTAGATGGCTAGAGAATATGAAATCAAAGAGCTTTTATCTTCTCTCTGAAGATTTACAATCTTGAATTAATAGGAATCACACAGGTAGTGAGTGAGCTGGCAAGGAGGATAACCAGTGTGCTGAACTGTTAAAATAGCAAATTCTTCACCAGGTAGGAAATAGCAGTTATTCCCAGAACTGCTCTATTTGCTCTACCCTGCCTGCCCTCAGTATCACCTCCAAACCCCACTTCTGTGGGCCCCAGAATTTACTATTTTCTAGCAACTAAAGGGTCAATGCCCTTATGCACTCAGTATTTTACATATAATCTCAGAGGATGCAGTTTGCCTAGAGACAAAAGTTATAAACCTTGAAATAGTAATGAGTATTCAGTAAACTGGAGTTAAAGGCCAGAGCATGAAATACAAGTTGGGGAATAGAGAGAAATGGAATTGAAAAGGGTTCAACAAAAGATTTTAAGCCAATCCGCTTTTAAAAACAATACTTTTGATTGTACATAACCTTAGTACATAAGTACTCACTGATATTTGTTGAATGAGCTACTATAATGCTAATTATTAGTAACAGCTGCTGTTAATATGCATATGGCTTTTTACTCTTTTTGCATTCCTGACCACTAAGGAAGTTTGCATCCACATTTGCAAGAATAAATATAGACTTGACTTGTATGAAGGAATTTACCTCCTTTCCTCTGCAGTTACAGGATTATGTGATTATCCCACTTTATAATCGGTGATTTCAGTATTTACAGATGTAAACACTGAAAATCATTGGGGGGGAATCAAACTTGGTCAACAAGGACTGACTTTTTTTCATTTCACTCGGAACATTTTACCAAATAGTGACTGAATACTGATAAATAGTTTCATTCATCAATGTGAACAGGCAGGCAAGAGATAGCTCAGAAGTTTTGATTTAAAAGGGCTAATAAGAAAGGTTTAATTGTATGGAAGTATTAATGGAACTGGTTCTCCTTAGTTTAATTCCTTGCTTAAAAAAAAAAGATAAAATATTCCTTATTAATGGAGGTACAGGTTAAAGGATAAATACCCAAAACAGTACCTGAGCAAATCACTATTTTTACATCACAGTGTACTGTTCTTCCTAACCAGGAGTCACTGCATTGTATATACTGTCAATTGCAATATAATTCCCATCACTATGTTTCTTCATGTTCTCTCAAGAGTAAATGACATTACTGAATTATTTTCATTAAATGTTAATTTTCATACTCTTTCAGCCAAGCACTAAAAACCAACAATCGATGGAATAAGTATATGTAACAAATTCCCTGTAAGACATGGGAATAAAGTTTTCATATTCCCAAAGGTCTGCAATTTTTTTGGCATTAAACAATAGGGTATTACAATTAAACACAAAATCAGTTGCTATTTAATACTATGTAATATTTTAAAACTCTTTATTAATGTGGATCATTTTTTGCCCTTCTAAAGGCTCCTCCTCTCCACCCCTTCTGCAATGGGTGGTGGGGGCCTCCCAATGCCAGCAGCTGAGGGAGCTCCATGCCATCATTCCTCTTCTCTCTGAACTGGCAGGCGCTCTGGAGGAAGAGCAGATTCCAATTTCTGCCAGCGCTCTGGAGGCCACAGGATGTGTGTAGCATGGGCATGTAGAAGTCCTAGGGAAACCTAAACCCATGAGAGACACAAAGCAAGAAATTATTTTATCAGAATTATCATTAATATCTTAAAGACAGAATTTGATCCAGGTCTGAAATTCCTTGGAAAGATGATGATTAAAAATAGTAAACATTTATATGGCACATTTCTAGGTGCTTTATATACCTAAATGCCTTTAAATCCTCACAACCATTTGAAGTAGGTATTACGCCCATTTTGCATATGAGAAAACTAAAGTCGGGTTGGTTAAAGAACTTGCCAAAAGTCCTACAGCAACCAGTTGGTGGAGGCTGGCTTCAGGGCTGAGCTGTCCAACCCCAGGATCTGCAACCCTAACCCCCATCTTCAGTTTGTATATACCCAAGGAGCATAAGTCTGGTTTTCATTCTTGGAATTTCCTATGGAGTTACTAGTATTTTAGAGAGACTTTACTTTGTAGATAAATCAGAGACATGAAAAAAGTATTGTCCCACCTACTGACTGAGCAGCAAGAGTTTGATGTAAGACTAAAGGCCTTCCTTGGAAACTACATGGAGCAACAGGGAACTGGTGATCACAGAGGGAGGTGGAAAACTAAGGGAAAGCCAGCAATGGGGGATAGGAAGCAAGGAAAAAGAATCAAGTATAAAGATGACAGATGGCGAAGAACTCCTCCTCAGCAGATATGTGCCCATTTAGGAGAAGGAAACTAGAGAGACACTACGGCTGAGCCCTGAAAAGGAGGGAGACCTTAAAGACATTTTAGGGCCATCAGCTGCAGTGAGCAGAAGAATGCCAGCAAACCTGTCTTTTGTTGTTGATGCTATTGTTGTTACTATTCGGTAACGTTAATAGTATTTAAAAACTTACTTACAAAGTACACTTAACCAGATACTATGGGTCCACTTTTTATTTTCAAATGTTTTTCCTATAAATTGGAGCTCCATAGAGATTAACAGACAAGTGCTTTCATTGAAGTTCTATTTACTAGCATATGCATGCAAGAAATCACATTGCACAGAGAGTTAATTAAAGAACTGGATGTCAAGTGAGGGACTCTAAAAAGATAACTAGAAACACTTTTTTTTTTTTTTTGAAAAACAAACACACTTCACAACAACGTGGAATACAAATAAGCCCAAAGGCTATCAAGAAGCCCAGGGGCCCAATAAAGAATATTACTTTGAAAATCAAATTTGAAAATGTGGTGGGGAAAAAAAAGAGCAAGCTCTATTCATCCAAATTCACTATTTTTATTTTGTTACTTTCTCCTTGGATGCCTGTCTGTATACATATACTTTTTTAATGAACCATTGAAATTTGCTGACATTCCGAATTTACCCCTCTAAGACTCTTTCCTACATAAATACATTGTAAGTTATTAACAATACAATATTTATATATAGCCAATATTCAGAATTTTCCAATTGCCCCAATAATGTCTTTTATAGCTGTTTTTTAAATTCTTAATTAAGGATCAAAAATTGCATCATAATTGTCATTATTTTTGTTTAGGCCTGTTGCCTTGTAAGATGGCCCACATTTATAATTGCTTGATTTTTTCCCCTCCTGAAAAGATTCAAGTTAAATGTTCTTGGCAAGAACACAATGTACTTGATAATGCATTCTTCCTACTCTGTCATATCAGAAGGCACAAAATATCTGTGTCCCATTCTTGTGATGTGAAGTTTGATCACTTGATTAAAGTGATATTGAACAGATTTCTCCTCTGTAAACAAATTGTTTTCCTTTTATAATAACTAATCTGTGGGATGATATTTTGAAATATGTAACTATCCTGTGTCAACATTTCATCTAATTGTTTTACTGTCTCTCAAGGAAGCTGGTTTCTAAACCATCTAATGATTTTAACATCCATCGATGATCCTCCCTGAATCAGTTATTACATTGATGATTACAATAGTGAGTTTCCAAATTTATTATTCCTTTTATATTTACTAGCTGTCATTCTTCTCTAAAGTGATTCCCCTTCCAACCCCAAATGCCTCCTTTAATATCAAATATTTCTTCTTTATTTCACAATCTCTTATGAGTTCTTGGTTAAACTTGGACAGGTCTCCATCAGTCCCTGAGCACTTCCTTACTTTTTGGTACCAACTTGATGTTGCAGGCTTACTTATACTTTATACCTGTCCAGCCTGAAATCAGACATCTCATTAAGGAGGGTTTTCCCTCACCTTCCCTCATTCCATATTTTTCTCTCTCTTCTTCTAGAGTTAGCACTCTGGCTCCCAAACACAAATTTGCTGAGTAAACATCAAAGTTTCTTTGCAACTATTTTAATCCTTAAAATACATCTCATTTAAGGGTATATTTATTGGAATTTGTCCTTTTCCTCCTCCACAGTGTAGCTGTATTAAGTACTGTTAGGTTTGTTTCTATTTGTATTGAGTTTTAGTGGTCTTTTGTTATCCTTTTTGATTAAATGTTATTTTTGAATATATAAAGATTTGCATGGTTAAAAAGTCAAAATTATTCTTAAAAGGTAAGGTAGGCAGAATGCCCCCTCTAACACACACTCCAAACATGTCCACATCCTAATCCCCAGAAGGTATCACTACACAATGCTACAGAGCAAAGAGGATTAAGGTTACAGATGGACTTAAGATTGCTGATTAATCAGTGGATAGTAAGATAACGGATATCCTGTAACATTCCATGAACTGAAATGTAATCATAAAAACCCATAAATGCAGATGGGCTAGGCAGAAGGGTTAGATTCAGACAGAGATGTTATACTGCTGGATTTTGAAGATGAGAGAAGGGCCATGGGCCAAGGGATGCAGGTGGCCTCTAGAAACTAGCCAGGAAACAGATTATCCCCTAGAGCTTTCAAGAATAAATGAAGCCTTGCTGACACCTTGATTTTAGCCCAGTGAGATCTATATTTGACTCATGACCTCCAGAACTCTAAAATATTGTTTTAAGCCACTATATTTGTGGCACTTTATTATACTAACAGTGGGAAACTAATACAAAAAATATACACAAATTACATTCCTATCCACTACCACACCTCTAAATGATTAACTGCTTTCATCAGAATATTTTTCTTTTTTGGAAAAAGAAACCGAAATATACACTCCTATTTCCCTTTTTTCTCACATACCAAAGGTAGAATATTATGCATTCCCTTTTGCACCTTGCTTTTATTCTCACCAGTATCTCCTAGAAACCATTTCCTAACACTTCATAGAAAGGGAGTCTATGGTTTTTATAACTCCCCTCCTTTTAGTGATTCTGATTAACTTCAGTGAAAGTCCAGGATCTGAATTTGCCACTTAGCATCACACCCAGAAAAAGCAAACTTAACCAATTTTAAAGAATCCTTTAACTATATTCTGGAACATGCTATGTAACCATTCCAACCATGTTAACTGCCAGGAGCCTAGGTCAAATGGTCTGTCATAGTGAAGTTTTTATCTATATCTGTTTTTGTCTGGCCTCAGTGGAGCTGTAGGACAGCTGGTATCCATCCTCTCAGTCACCCTTTTTAGATTTGATAGCTGCTACTTGGTTGTTCCTCAAGCCTTTATTTGCTGTTCCAAGTTGTTTAACTTTTCTCATATGGTTGATTTGCCAGGACTCCTGCCAATATATTTGCTTGTTTGCCTGGTGATTCAATTTTTTTTAATCAACCTTCATTTTACTAAAACCTAGGATTATTTTATTCCAAACATTTATTAGGTACACTACGCACTTCCTGAAAAAGACAAAAAATCTCCCAGATGTAGAGTATTAGTATTGTATGCAAAATTTAAGCATTTCTTTAAGAGAGACTAATAAACAGAGTGCCTATGTATTCTAGCAGTCTTGTCACAGATCTTTATTAGTATGTATACAGACATGTTAAGAGCATAGTGAATACAGGACAGAGAAAATCCAGAAATAATCCAGAAGTAAAATAACTTAAAAATTAAAAGCTATACTAGCTTTGGTTTCCACACATACTGTATTAAGCAGGGTCCTCCAGAGAAACAGAACCAATAGGATATGTGTTTATATATAGAAATAAATTTATTTAAAGGATTTAGGTCATGCAATTATGGAGGCTTGGGGAGTTCAAAATCTATCTAATGGGGAAGGACAGAAGGCGGTGAAGACTCAGGAAAGAATTTCAGTTTAATTTCAAAGGCAGTCTGCTGGCAAATCGTTTATTGCTTGGGGTAGGGTAGCCTTTTGTTCTATGCAGGCCTGCAACTGATTGGATGAAGCCCACCCACCTATTGGAGAACAAAATGCTTTACTCAAAGTCTCCTAATCTAAATGTAAATCTCAGCCCAAAACACTCTTAAACCTTCAAAGGGCTGGGCACCAGAGCCATCTAAATTGATACATAAAATTAACCATCACACCTGACAAATACAATCCTCCTCCTTCTGCTTACTCAGGGTTACATTCCATGCTTACTACACCCAGGGCAGTGTTCTGAATGACTTAGGCATCCTAATGCAATTAATCCTCACAATAACTCTGTGATGCAGGTTCTATTATGATCTCCATGGTGGAGGAAACGTAGGCATAGCATGAGATTTTTTTGAGCCAAGACTGAAGTGTATGCCCTCTGGCTCTTGAACCTCTTTTATCAGGATCCATCTTATTATTTATTTTCCAAATGAGACACTTTGACCATGAAAGGGGGCACTTTTTAAATTAAGTAAGGATAACAGTAAAATGGAGCTGTCATGGACAAATCAAGATCAGGTCAACTTAATCATATTGCTGTCCCACATACCTTCCTGAAACACCTAGATTGATCAGAAGGAAATGACTGTTATGAGCTGTATTGTTTCTGCAAAAGTCATATATTGAAGCCCTAATCCCAGTACCTCAGAATAGGACTGTACTTGGAAATTGTTACCTCTTTAAAAGTTGTAAATTAAAATGAGGCCATTAAGGTGGTCCTAATCCATTCAGGCTGGAATTTTGTTAGGACATTAAGAAACAAAACTTGCTGACATTTGACCTTGGACTTCTAGTCTTTGGTACGGTGAGGAATTTTCTGTTGC